TATGATGTTTTCAATTGTTTTACAGCTTTCATTGTAAAGTCTTTAAAAAGACTTTTTTTATGTGCAAGCTGCCTTGGGTCCCTTTCTAGGAGAAAGGTGGCATCAAAATGAAATAAATATACCATAAAAATCAGATATGCCCAGGGGAAGCTTAATTATTGCTCTGCATTAGTTCACAAATTTCTGTTTCCCCTTTCCTAATGTTCTGATTCGCAGTGATGACAATGAGGAAGCTTTTATCTTCAGGAAATTACCTTAATAGTAGTTCTCTAGTAAAATATTTCTTCAAGCCAAAGATTGCTCTCAAAATGCACTGTCAGTGACCTGAACTTCTTTACTTTCCTTTAGCATCCTTGGCATGTACAATGGGAGATTAACAGCAGCAGTAGCAGCCACAATATCAGTGTTATTTGCTTAGTAGATTGTATGTTTGTCTATTAAAATTTGTGTATGCCACCTTCTAATCCTAGCAAGGTCCCCAAGGCACTTTAGTTGCTCATGTGTATATGTGAATATTAAACAGAATTAAAGCAAGAAGAGCAGAGTTTAAAACAGTCAAGTAGAATATTAAAATTTTCAGTGCTTGCTAGTGGTGTACAGTAACGATAATTTTTAAGGTACAGGTATATATGATAGTCTCCTGAGCCAACAACCCAAAGAGATTCCAGAAATGCAGGCCATTGTGTTGATCAGTATCCCTTTGTCTTAGGACTTTATCACACTGGGGAAATTGGGAGTTTAAACAGTGATTAACCTGTGAAAATTGCGCAGTTGACATTAAAACATGCTTAAAATGACATTAACACAAGTGCCATTATCCCTGGAATAACCAGGTAATAAACAGCAAAAAGTCATTTGTGGGAAAATCCCATGAATGAGTTCCTGCTGTTTTTTGCCTGGTTATTCACGGGATAATGACACTTTAATCACGTTTCATTTCAATGTCGTGTGAAAATCATTTGCAAAATTGCAGGATAATCATGGGTTATTCACGGGATAATAGCACTTTGCATGCGACTTCGTGTGAAAACCATTCACACAATTGTGGATTAATCACCGGTTTATACTTCCAGTTGTCCCCCATGTGATAAACTTCTTAGTCTTTCCCTTTATATTAAGAGTGCAAGAGTTGTGTTTGTTGCTCAAAAGGGTCAGCAGAGCACAGGATAATATATTACATGTTAAGGCCAACAAGCTATAATAGAGACTATATTCAGGAGTAGCCGTGTTGGCCATATAGCAAAGTACAGTATAATCCAAAATCTACAAAAGTGATATCTTTATTGGGCCAACCAAAATGCACATTACACATATACATGGGTAGCCATGTTGGTTATTTAGGAAATCCAATGAAAAATCCACCAAACAGTGATACCTTTATTGGTCCAACCAAAATGTACAATATACATGTTGCAGGCTTTTGAAGCTCCACTGGCTTCTTCATCAGGCAAGATGTTACAGACAAACAGGAGAAAAAAATTGAAGATGTTAGTCATAGGCCTGCATTTTGCTGTTTTTCTTCTTAGATCAGATGGTATGGAGGGGTATCTCTTGCAGGCTGGCGCCTCCTCCTTCTGGCCATGTGGCAATTGGGAAATTCTCAGAGTCCAGGAAATTTAACATCCTTTTGCATCACAACAAAGACACTTCCTTGGCAATCCAATATGCCTCCATCATTGTGAGGCTGCACATGTTGCAAGCTTTCCAAGCTTCACTGGCTTCTTCGTCGGGCAAAGGTGTTAAAAATGATACAGGAGAAAGAAAGATTATTAATTTTTTGATCATGTTAGTCATAGCATGTGTTAGGGAATTATCCCATATATATATATATATATATATATATATATATATATATATATATATATGGGTTTTTGAGTGTGTGGTAGAGAAATAATTGAAATCTCAGCTCTCTTTGGCTTCAAAGCAAAACTCAGTTTATTCAGCTGAGGGGCAGCTTACTTTCAAAAGTAAAAACAGAATTGCCCACCCTTCTTTGTTCTCTCAAATCTTTATAGAAATATTTTGACCATAGAAGACATGCGCAGAAACTTCTTTGTGGCCATCTGGTTTCAAAGAAATAGTCAACTTAAAAACGAAACTTAAAACAACAGCTCTAGGCTGGCAAGGTCACTAGACATTCTTGTCTCCTCCTTATCTTCGGTTGCCTAGTTAACCTATTTCCAGCTGCACATCTCCAGCTCATCTCCTTTTAAACTATGTAAAAACATTGGACCTTATAACTTTATAGTTTTGCAAGCTGAATTCTATTAAGCTGTTTTGCAGTCTTGCAGTCTTGAAATCTATATTTACAAACATTTATCACATAATATAGATGTGCAGTGTGAGGCCTCCTTTTTGGGGCCCCTTTCCCTCATGGCGAAAACAAAGATTTCTCTTAATTAGTGAAGCAGACAGTAACAGACAAAGGGCTTACTTTGCACAGGCTAGCTCCATGACCTTGCAAAATGATACATGTGCAGACCCTCACAGTTTAGGAATGTGTGAGCTGTTCTTGCAATCTTCTAAAAGCAAACTTAAATACAAGCTTTTATAAGCTAAATGAATTTCTAATTTCTTAACATATGTTTAATGTATATTTTTCATTCAGTTTTATAACTTACATCAGGCCATAGGTCACCTAGCCTCATTTACTGGTTCTTACTCCCTCCAAACTTAGCCAGAAGCTTTCCAGTAACCTCATCCTTCAGCATAGAAAATGGGGTTCTGTGTGATCATCTGTCTGAACCCAAAATTAACTATTTTCTAAGGGAATTTTATGCTGCTTCCCTCTCATTTGCATTTGGTCAAGATGTTGTACTTGTTGTCCTCAGGTCAAATGGTGCAGAAGGGTATTCCTGCAGGTGGACCCCTCCTTCCTCTGTCCATGTGGATACTGGGATATTCAGTCCAGGAAACAAACTTTAAATTTCATTAGCAAGACAAAAAACTATCGCCTTTGAGATCCAGTTTGTCTCAGCGAATGATAGAAAGTACTGTATTCTAACCCAACTCAGCTAAATTGCAATTACAACAGGAAAAGATCATAGCCATATGGTCTCTCTCTCTGTGTGTGTAGGGAATCTCTACTTTGGTGTAACTAGGAGATTACAACTAATATTATAGGAAACTGGAAAGCATGGGAAAGGTGGTAAATGATCTAATTTCCCTGCTAATTTATACATGCCAGTGTTGTGACCCTGCAAGCTCTGTTCTGCTACTAAATTGCTGCTGATCAGCAAGAATTGGCTTTATCTGGAGAGTGGGCAAAGCACGGCCATCCAAATGTTGTTGGACTACAACTTCCATTAGTTCTAATCCACATAGCTAATGGTGAAGAATGCTAGGAAATGCAGTCCAACAACATTTGGGGGTCTGTAAAATTCCCACCTGGGGTACTGTACCATCCCTTGTGAGAGAAATCTATAACCAGGGGTACTGCTAGAGAAATGTCACATGTGCTCCAGATTTCAACCAGATCTCTTTTAGTAGTGGAATATAATACAGCAGGATCTCAGATTATCATTGCATTTTATGGACAGGTTTTTGTGAGAGAAGGGAGGCTGTATGCCTTTTGGAACTTTTAACATAAACAGCTGTATATTTTATTGTAGTACTGTAAAACTGGGAACCAATGTAGTGGGTAGAAAAAACTGGTGTAATATGGCCTAGAAAACATTCACTGCAAAGCAGGATGTAGGATGCAAATTATTGCTCATTGGCAATGATAATGATTTTCTTTTACATACTTCCTTTGTGCTTTTAGACATTCATGCACTTAATCGGGTGTAGAGGTTTACAAGCAGAAAATGGCCACAGCAGATAACTAGAGAAGTATTGACTCTATTCAGCTTTTCTTTGGTGAAAGGTTTGGCTGAATAGATTTATGTTGTGCAAATGGAAAGCAAATCTTTTGGCATTTGTGTGGCTTCTGGTGGCTTCAGTCTTGTGGACAAGGTGGTGGAATATAGCTGTATTTCTAAGGGTTCCTTCACACCACACAGTTATAGCACTCTGATTCCACTTTAACTCCCTGGATTCCATCCTATAGTATTTTTGGATTTGCAGTTCAGGGAAGGGCATTTCGATCTCTTAGCCAGAAAGCTCCTCTGATGCTCCAGGCTAAGCTACAGAGCCCAGGATTATTTAAGATGATGATGATGATGATGATATTGATATTTCTTTCCTCTCCCCATGGATTGAGGCAGGGGACAACAGCAATTAAAAAACAAACAAAATCAGTTAAAACACATCAGTTAAAAGACACATCAATTTAAAAAGACAACTAAAATCTACACATATTATGGACCTTATCCCACGCTGCTCTCAAAAGTGGCAAGAAAGCGATATGAGCATCATTGCAGTACTATAGCGCTAGTATAAATATGGCGCTAGCACTATAATAGCGCTATGGATAAGCTAGCGCTATTGCAATGCCTGCTGAAACCGACATACAAAAGAACCCGAATGATGCTGCATTCCGAGCGGTTTCTTGTTTGATTCTGAGCGACGTCGTGTAATCACCCGGAAAACTATAGCGCTATAGCGCCTGATTCTTAGCGGATTCTGAGCGACGTCGTGTGATCACCCGGAAAACTATAGCGCTATAGCGCCTGATTCTTAGTGCATTCTGAGCGACGTCGTGTGATCACCAAGGAATGTATAGCACTATAGCGCCTGATTCTTAGTGGATTCTTGCTGCTTTTGGCCCCGTGGGATAAGGTCCTTTAATGATCCACATCTAAAATTCATTTAAAATTCACTATTTCAAAATCATCAGGATAAGCCTGCCAGAAAATACTGGTCTTTAATGCTCTTTTAAATTCAGGTAGTATATTCAGCTGTTGAATCTCTTCTAGCAGGTCATTCCACAGTCTAGGGACAGCAGCAGAAAAAGTCCATTGGATGACTATAGTAAATGTTCCCCAGAGGACCTGAGTTTGTGGGACAGATGCAGTCATAGCAGTTTAAGTAGAGCCATAATGCTGTAGTTGTGTACTGTAACCAGGGTGGTATAGTGGTTTGAGTATTAGACTAGGATTCTGGAGACCAGGGCTCAAATCCTGGCTCTGCCATGAAACCCACTTGGGCAACACACAAACTCTCAGTGTCAGAGGATGGCAAGGACAAACCCCCTCTGAAGAAACATGCCACAAAACCCCATGATAGGTTTGCCTTAGGGTCACCATAAGTTGAAAAGTACTTGAAGGCACCCAACAACATCAAATGGACTTTAGGCTGGGAGTGGGAATCATGCAGCCCATCATATGTTGTTAGGTAGACAGCACAGCCAGTGCGGAGGGATGCTGAAAATGGCAGTCCAACAACATCTGGAGGGCTTCATAATTCCAGTCTCTGCTGTAGGCATTGCCTTTGTTATAAGTGTCATTTATTGACCTTTTTCATTTTTACTTTTTTAAAAATCGAACTACAGGCTGTAAACAAACAGGCCACGATGTACTGGTTGCAGCAGCTACAAATGAAACGTTGGGAGTTCTGTACTAACCAGGCTCAGGGTTGTGTGGAAGATGAGGCAGTTCTTCCCTCTTCTGGCAATGCGGCTCAGCTTAATGATAGTAAGTAATTGTAGTATGAATATATCAGTCTTTTACCCCATCAGAAGGTGGATTCTCATCAGCCTCCTTGTTCAGTGGACCCTTGCCATCTGTAGGGGGGGGTCGGATCTGGGGGCCCCAGTTGATGGCAAAAAACACATACGGTCATGCCCCATATTATTCAGTGATGGCAATATATGCTTGGACACATCCGCATACGCAAACTGCCATTAAGTAATATGGGGTATGGAGATCCACAGGTGATCAGAGCTGTGAGTTGCCAGCCTGCCGATAGGAAAGGTCCACTGTAGTTCAAATTATGTTGTTTAGATGGCATTTGAGTGCACAGATGTTAATACAGATTTCTTGAGATTTGTTTAGAAGTGGAACATTCCTGTGGAGGCACGATAACTACTGCTAGAAAACTTATGTAGGAGTAGATCTGTTGGCAATACAGAAAAGTACAATAACATCCAGAATCTATAAAACAGCAATACCTTTATTGGCCAACCAAAATGTACAGAATACATGATGCAAGCAAATGCATCGTACAACAGTGTCATTTCTCACATGTCCTTTTATAATACAGCACATCCCTTGTTCTCCTGAATGCAATCTTTATGCCTCCATGTAAAATCTAAACATCACATTTCCCATACAGAGGTGATCTATTCTGTGCATAGCTTTATTGGTTGTGAACTAGGATCTTGCTTGCCTCATCCTCTGCCCAGGGTCCTTCCTGTCATGTGCCCACTGGGGTCTCTTATTGAAATAGGTGTTCAGGCCACAGGAGTTCAGCCCAGTGGTGGCTAGTGGCTTCCATATCAGTGGGATCAGTGATCTGCTCCAACATTTAGCCTAACGCAGTGGTACTCAAACTTTTTAACCTTGGGACCCCCCCTTTACATCTACATGCGGATGTTGCCCCTCTACTTGACTTAAATTAAAATAGTTTGTTTATTTAGTATACATATTTTCATTCACGTATTCATGTATATTCATATTTTAACATTTTATAAAGAAATAACATTGTTTTATTTAAGTACAGTATAGTCAGCCCCTCTATGTAAATTCCAAAAAGCAAACTTTGATTTTGCAATTTTATATAAGGGACACCATTTTACTATGCTGTTGTATTTAATGGGACTTGAACTTCCACAGATTTTTGTACCCACGGGGGTTCCTGGAACCAAACCCCAGTGGATACCAAGGGTCCACTATAAATTCAATATTTAACTCAACACATTTGTAAATTTTACAAATAAAAAAGTTTGAGAAAAGGGGATTGGATCCCCTAAGTCCCGGGGGCCCCCTTGAGCAACTCTCATGCCCACCCCAGGGGTCCTGGCCCACCGTTTGAGAACCACTGGCCTAAACATTAAAGGATCTAGCCTAAGTGCTGAACTCTGTGTTCAAAACAGGATCAGCACTTTGGATATCTCCTTTACAGTTCAGATTGAAATCTAGAATAGATTCACTGTCTGACAGACATGGAAGCTGCCCATCTCCATTGGTCAGAAATGCATAGGCTTAGACTGTCTGATCTTTATCCCACAAATTTGAAGAAAGTGATGACTGAGTCACATGGCTTAGGCCTTTGTGTACTTCCTCACCACACTCAGGCTGTGCACCGATTGCACAAGAAGTGTGTAGGGTGTGTTGTGCTTTGGTTGTTATGAGTTACCACCACACAGGGTGGATCAGACCAACTCTTTAGCAGAGGACCAGCACTGCAATCTGAAAGCAAAACATTCATTTGCTCTATTAAAAGGTTGCAGAGTAATGGGCAAGCTTTTGAGACCACCAGCATTCTTCAATCTGGATTTGAAGAAGAGGGAGAAAAAGGCTGAAAAAATAAACATTGCTTGGCATATTGAACAGTCCAAGTATGCATTTTTTGATGGACGTCTTAATGGAAAGGAAGACTTGCAGCAGCACAATTCTGTGCATGTCTGCTCAGAAGCAATTTCATCTGAGTTCAGTAGGACTTCCTCCTAAGTAAGTGAGAATAAGTTTACAACAGATCCTTCTTTTTTTTTCAACGTCAGCCATGCAGCAAAATACAACAAAATCCACAAAACAGTGGTCCCTCCAACAAAATACACCATGCAAGCTTCTGAAGCTTCACTGGCTTCTTTGTCAGACAAAGATGTTCGAAAACATACAAGTCAAGAAAAGTGAAAAGTCACAGACCTAAATTCTGTCTCAGGGGCTGAGCAGATGGGCCAGGAAAGCACGGGTTTGGCTTGTGTTTTCCTGGCTTGGGTGCTAACCCAGATTGGTTGCTGGGTTGACAGAGGGATGGGCAGGTGTTTACATGCCCACCCATCCCTGCGTAACATACCTGGCACCACCTCACACTCATTACCTTCCTCTCCCATTGCTGCTATTGAAAAGACCCTCATCGCCTAGGGTTGCCATCATTCTCTTCCACAAAACTGGGACAAAAGTATGCAAGACAGGATTGGGATGGTTTATAAAAAAATCCCACCTCGCTTATAAAAAGCCCCCCCCTTTTGATATTTAACATTTCCACAGCAAAAAACAAACAAACAAACCCCTATCTATGGATTCAACCAGCCATGGCTTCAGAATATTCCAATACACACACATTCCCCAAAAGCAAACTTTGATTTTGCTATTTTATATAAAGGACCCAGCAGATACACCAAGGCTCCCCACTGTATTTTAGTTGTTGTTTATTTATATATTGCCATCCATTTACATTCTGAGATTTGTAGTTTGTTGCTTCTTCAAGGGGGACATTTTTCAAACCCTTCAATACGGGATTTTCCTGGTTTTCTGGGACAAATGGTATGCCTACCATTGCTGCATCTAATGTGAAATGAGGTGCCTGACTGTACCCATATGACCAGGCACCCTGTTTCCACATCAGATGTGGGGATGAGGGTCTTTTTAGTAGCAGCAATGGGAGAGTAAGGTAAGGGGTGTGGGGGCCATCTAATTTCACAGGGTTTGCTGCAGAGCAAATGGGGGGGGGGTCAGTTTGACCCGTCCTAAGCCCCATTTACCTGGAATTGAGCTGGATCTACTGGATCTGCATTTGGTCTGTCAGGATCCAGCCCGATCTTGGCCCTGGAGGATTGGCCTGCATCATCCAAAGAGGATGAAGCAAGACCAGCGGGAACATGGGCCTTTTGGCCAGTGCAGACAGCTCCTCGGATATCATTCTGTTGTCATTTAAGATGGCCTTGAGGGATTTCAATGCAGGCACAGGTCACTCCCTTTCTTGGCCATATGTGAGGACTCGGGACAAAGGACAAAGACATGAGCAGCTGAATCTCAACGGAAGTTATTTTTCTGCTGCTAAGGTAGTTGAAATTTTATTACCTTTCTCTTTTGTTTTCCTTTGTCCTTCACATCGAAGCCAGTGAAACTTCCAAAGCTTGCATAACATATTTTATGCTTTGACATTGGCCAAATAAAGGTATCGCTGCTTTGTGGATATTGTATTTTGTTGGATTTGGCCCATTTTTTAAAATGTAATCCTAGAGATGGAAAATTTCCAACCATTCTGAAGCTATTGGGGGGGGATTCCCCCCAGATTTATTTTTATTTTTTGAAAAAATCTGAAATTTCCAGAAAAATGCAATATTTGTACTCTTTACAGATTGGAAGACACTTTGTTACTTAGGAACATAAAATGAATTCTGTACAATTTGCTTTGGAATAAGTTACCATGCCTGGTATATTAAAAGTACAGCTAGTTCAAACAAATATTGCAAATAGAATTTACGATTATATATCTATATACCAGTATGTATATGTTACAAACCAAGCAGGCTAAAACAAACAAATAAGCAAGCAAGCAAACAAACAAACAAAAGAAAGCACACGTATCCCCCCAGCAAAAACAAGATAAAGAAGGAGAAACTATCAGCATGAGTAAAACAAGAAAAATTATTTCGTTTCCTCTATAGTTTTCCATTGTGTCAAGCATGCATGTCTATGCTTGTATTCCAACAGCAAGAAGGTAGAGTAGAAAACCAAGACCAGGGATTGCAATAGTGTGATAATGTACATATTCTTATATAGAAGTCTTTCTTTTACATAGTTTTTAGAAATAATTTTCAGCAAGTAAATATGCAAATATCTTGTTTTAAACATTTTATTTATCATTCTAACAGTATTTGCTATTTTTTTTATTTTTCACCTTCTTCCAACCAAAGAAGTCTTCAAAAAAGGGGATTTTTTTTCATTTCTCCTTCTCTAAGCCTTCACAACCCTTTGTAATCCCCATGAACACACCCAAAATCTGTCCCAGAAGGTTTGGGAGCAGACTGGTTGGGCACAGGGAGAAAATGTCCATTTTTATGACAGAGCCCACAAAAACAGAAGCTATATGGATTGATGGAAAGTTGAAATTTACCAGACATGTCGGAATGGTTATTGGAATTTACAAGATTTTATGGAGAATGACAAATTAACAATATTACTTAGAGACAGGTCTATTGATAAATTTGAGAAAGACTGGTCGCAACCGATAGAATATTTTAAATCAGTTTAAGTCTGAAGGATATCTAGATAAAGAATAGTATTAAGAAGGTAAAGAAGCTTAAGGTGAAATTAGGGCACTTCATTAGACTTGATCAGTAGAATATGTATATACTAGGATGCCATAGATGGAATTGAATAATATGTTGGTTTACAATTGAAAGGTAATGATAGTACAAGACAAAGATGTGATATAGAGGATAGGAGGTACCGTTTGTTTGGTTTTTGTTTTTTAATATTGGTGTTTATGTTGTGTTATGTTTGATGTATGTTATATTATGTTATGTTTGGGAGATTGGTATGAATAAATATATATATTTTTAAAAGAAAGTTCAGTCCGCAAGTGCTTATCTGTATATGTCTCTCATGATCCAAGTCAAGACTCAGGATGTCCAGGATGCCAACATTTTTGGAGTCAAAAGCCGCCTACCCTACCTGATCCTGGTCTTGCTCTCTTCTTAGGCTCCATTCACACTGCAGAAATAATCCAGTTTCACATTGCTTTGACTGCAAGGGATCAGTGCTATGGAAATCTGGAAATTGTAGCTTTGTGAGACATTGATCTTCACTGTCAGAGAGCTTGGTGCCACAACAAATTACAATTTCCAGAATTCCATACCATTGAGCTAAGGCAGTTAAAATGATATCAAACTGGATTATTTCTTCAGTGCAGATGCAGCCTTAGAGACAACTTTAAAGGGGGGCGTTGGAAGAGTTACTGCTGTGGACTGTAGATCCCAGTATCCTTGCCATCTGGGAGTTACAGTCCAGAAGAGTAATTTTTCCAAGATCTGTTTAAAACAGGAGTGGGAAATGTGAGGCTCTACAGATATAGGTGAACTGCAGCATTGCACCATTCCTAGTGAACAGTGAAAAATTGGGAAATGAAATTCTACATCCTCTGGAAGGTCTTACGATTCCCACTGATGGGCTGTGTTAAGCTAAAATAGATTTCTGTCTTTGATTGCCCAAGTGTCTATCCTCTTTTGTGTATAGCAGGCAGTAAAGAATTACACTGGTTGCTCCTTGGCTGCATCTGTACAACAGAAATAATCAAGTTTGATACCACTTTAGCTGCCATGGCTCAATACTGTGGAATTCTGGGAATTGTAATTGTATACTACAGTTCCCAGAATTCCATAGCATTGAGCCATGGCAGTTAAAGTGGCATCAAACTCAATTATTTCTGGAGTGCGGATCAGGCCTTTTCTTCTTCTGATTCAGCTTTAGCTTGAGCATGCCTGAGTTCTATCACAGTTTCACTATATCTCTTTTTCTTTATAGCTGATGCAGAACATGAATTTTTACCCTCTGTGAAAACTCCCACTGATGACATAGTAGGTATAAAGGCAGCTTTTCTTCCACCACCACAGCCTTCTATTGCTCTTCAGAACATCTCCCTCAAGCATCCTTGGATTGAAATACAGTAATGGTTTCATATTTTGAAATTCCAAACAAATAATTCTTGCAACAATAACAACAGAGTTATCTCAGTAACAAACAGATTTCTTTCTGTCATGAGTCTGCAAAGGCACAAGTCAGCTTTATCAAATGCAGAAAATTTAACTCTTACCCTACCTGGTGCTTTTCAAAGCCTACAATTCTCATAAAGCCTCAGGCAGCTTGACAGACAGTTGGGAATGATGGTATTTGTAGTCCAAAAATATCTGGAGCATACTAGGATGGGGAAGATTGCAAGTGTGGGTGTTACATGTACAAATGGCTGCAGGAACAAGAGATGGATCACTCTGATGCTAGATGTGTTTTTTACTTCATTTGTTCATTTTATTTTAAACATTTCTCTACTGCTTCTTATTCTAGATAAGCCATCAGGTATCATTCATAAAAGTTCAGTACAGTAAAACAAAGTTAAACATAAACAGAAAAGTTAAGAAGTTTAAAACTGTCAACTGGGATTAACAGATACAGATTTAAATTTAAATATAAAAATGCTTAGATATGTTTGAAATGCCTGTATAGGTTTTGGTAACGCTGTAATATTTGTGCTAGACAGTCCTCTGTCTAATTATTAAAGTAATTGATCAAGACAAATATTTTCCCATGCAATGAATGCTGATTTCTGCATAAAAATGTCACACTCCCAATCTGCAAATAATCTTCAAAAATCTACACAGTTTTTGGAGTCTTTCTTGTAATGAGAAGAAAATTGCTTAGATTACTCATTGTTTCCCTTAAGAACAAAATGAATGAAGAATTGTTGTTGTTGCTGTCTGTCTGTCTTCAAGTCGTTCCTGATTTATGGGGACCCTATCATGGGGTTTTCTAGGCGAGATTTGTTCAGAGGGTTTTTTGCTATTGCCTTCTTCTGAAGTTGAGAGAGTGTGACTTGCCCAAGGTCACCCAGTGGGTTTCATGGCTGAGCTGGGACTCGAACCCTGGAGCTCAGAGTTACAGTCTAACACTCAAATCACTATGCCATGCTGACTTGATGAAGAATTGTATCCCTACTAAAGCCACATTTTTCGGTGTAGTAATCAACTTATTCCTGAGATATTTCAGTTAGATGGAAGGTCATGTTGATTCATTGCTCTGCCATTTCCTCCTCTCTTTCACGTGAGATCTGGCAGCCAGGGAGAAGTTAAAGCTAGAACCCATCACCCCAGTATATTAGCTTATTATCTGCAGGGATTTTTTGGGGTATAGAGGGGCTTTTAAGCACATGAATCTTAAGCACATTAGCTTTCTGAATTGGTACAGTCTAGACACCATTTTACTACTTTATTAAAAACTAGGATTATTATTATTATTATTATTATTAAACTTTATTTCTAGAGCGCTGTAATTATACACAGCGCTGTACAAAGTAAAAAAGTTACAAATATAAAAAAGCCTGCCCACGGCGTACACTCTAAGAAATAAAATAAATAGATAAACAAATTACCAAATAGAGGAAAAAATTAAAAAATCAAATATCAAACAAATCAAATGACATCAAATCACAAATCACAAATCACAACACAATTAACCAAATCAAGCCAAATCAAGCTGAAATAGTTACAGCTTCATTCTAATCTTTATCCCATGATTCTGCATTTTAAGAAACACAGTGCATAGTCTTTGTGGCAACCGGCAGAACCGAGGAGAGAGTGATATGCTTGGTTTCATGGAGAGTTATGATAATCCCGAACATGAAGCTGATGAAGGCCATAGAGAAAGAGAAAATGAGGATGCAGGTACTAGTTTCTGTGTTGTGATAAAATGTAAAAAATATGGTCTGTCCACTGTTTTGCACACCTTTTCTGCTGTCACTGTCCTATGATGAAGCAGATCAAGGAAAGTTGGAACAATGAGCACAAACCAACAAAAATGATTCTTGAACTATAATCATAATAAGCTCCACAGAAACCAGTGGGACTTGTTTAAACAAATATAAGAGTGCAAGTCTGTTGGAAATCACTGTGGATTTATATTAATTTACTAGTTCTAACTGGAAAGAAGCATCACTGAAATGTATGTACTTTATTTTCCTGCGTATAAGACTACTTTTTAACCTGCAAAATCTGTGGCTAAAGTGGGGGGGTCGTCTTATATGCCAGATATAAGGATAAGGAGGATGGAGATGCTAAAATGCTATATTTTGACTGGAAAAATGGGGGGTCGTCTTATACGCCGGGTCGTCTTATACACTGGAAAATATGGTATTTACTTACTTCTGAGGCACCTCACAAAAACATAAGATTTGTTCTGTGTGCTTTTAAAGTCCCATAATTTGCTGAAACAACGTCAGATATTGGAGGTTGTTGTGCATCTGACAGTGTCCCAAAACCTATCCAAGTAACCAGTTACTAGTTTGCTTCTTCCATGACAATGAGAGGATAATTTTTATTTTTCCTTTGGTCACAGCTGAGATGCAAAAGGACACAAGGATGAAGCTAAAATCACCTATGGTTAGAAAGATGAAAAAGATGAACAGCGGTTTCCCTTGCTTTGCTGAAGGGACAGGACAGGAGAAAGTCACTTCTCTCCAGCACCAAGTTTTAGTCCTCGAAGAAGAAGTGAAATCTCAGAAGGTAAGCCTCTCCTTCAATTTTTTTTTTTAGTACAGACTGATCCACAGTTTTTGAATTGGAAAAAATGTCTTAAAACTTACAGTGCTTGAATTTGATCTTCACCAAGGACACAACATTGTGCAAGTAGTTTTCTGTGTACTTTTAGCTATCTTGATGGCTGCATGGTGATCATTGCTGGAAAGAGGAACACAAAATCCAAGACTAGGAAACTGGAGGTATATAGGAGAAACTGGAAGAAAGATGTGGGCTATTTAGTTTTTATATTGGCAAATGCTGGCTAACATGTAGGGCTTGGTCCTTTAACTGATAAAGCTGAAAATTAGCTTTAATCAGTGGGGTTGCAGGTTGACAGTTCAGTTGTTTAATTTTTCAGTTCTGGCGTACAAAAAATGCAGAACACTGTTCCTTTGAATGATGTGTGTAGCCTTTGTTTACTAGGTTGGTTTATTTATTTGGGCCTAAATTCAGTGTAATGCCGGGCAAGTAAAAAATCTCCGTTAGCATATGGGCCTTATCACATTACAAAAGAAAGACGAGAGGCACCGAGATAGATGAGGCTTTACGCTTACCTTCCTGCATGCCAAAGAAACCACTTCCGCTCTGCTGCCAAGGAAGACAATTGTAAATGCTTTTGTCCTGCTGGAAAAATCAAATTTGGCAAAATCCATGCTTTTACAACCAGTTCCCTTTGAAGCAGTGAAAAAAGTAGAAAATAACACTGAAGCAACAAAATATTTTAAATTACTAAGGTATTTTATGCTGCGATTTTAGTCCTAATATTTTACACATGTGCTTTATAGTTTTTATTTGTCTTTATGTCATTTCTGCAAGCCACCTTGAGAGAGGCTTTTCAATCCTGAAGAGTCTCATTAAAGGCCTGTATCTAATGAGGTCATTGCATCCAATATGATTAATTGCTTTGTTAAGAAGCAGTTGATAAATGAACTAATGATTGTGAAGTTGTAGGCTTTCATGGCTGGCATCCATAGCTTTTTGTGGGATTTTCAGGCTGTGTGTCATGTTCTAGAAGAGTTTCTTTCTGACGTTTCGCCAGCATCTGTGGCTAGCATCTTTTTCTCTGGTGGGTCTTTGGCATTTGAGGGACAATTTTCTCTGAAGATGCCAGCCACAGATGCTGGCAAAACGTCAGAAAAAAACCCTCTTCTAGAACATGGCCAAACAGCCCGAAAAACCCACAAAAAAAACTATGAACTTATGATTGTTTAGCCATTTGTGTGAAACTTATAATACTGCTTTATACCATTTCATTCCACATTTTTTTTTCTCCAGACAACTCTGGGGCCATCTTTTTGGGGTATTCCCATTTCAGTTCCATGATATACCACTATTAGTTATAGCAATAGCTTCTATTTCGTTTTGAAAAACTGTGGGGCTGGACTTGATTATTTTTTGAATTTATATCCTGCCCTTCTCTTCAGATGACACTTATGCTGGCTTGCCCTATCCCACCCTTCTTTTGCTCTTCCTCAATTCCTAGCCTGATATCTTCAAACCATTCTTCCTCTACCCTTCCCATTCCACTAGCATCAAGCAACAAGTACTTTTCATTCCGGAAGGGCAAAGTGAGTGCCTCTCACTTGAAATATATCAGTGTTGGCAAACCTGTTTGGACCTCTTCCTCCTTCACACAGACACACACACAGACATATGCACGAATACATACAAGACTGACACATACAAAACCGAAACTGGTAGTCTGAACTATCCCATTGTTCAGATTATTATTATCCTTACTGATAAAACAACTAGAAATCAATTTGACAAAAGGTGGGAAAGTGGGATAAGGAAAGGAAAAATGCACTGGGGAAAGAGGACACAAATGATCCCAGAAATGACACAACCATGATGAAAGCAATAATTTTTCGTATGATCTGGATCACAGTGGAAGGAGAGAAACCGCACAGACTTCAGTAATTTTAATTTGTGGATTTGGTGCAAAATGTGGGAAACACTACTACTGGTGTCAAGAGCCTGGGTTGTTCAGAGGTAGAGGTGCATCATGTAAATGCCAAAAAAGAAAATTCAAAGATCTATTCATGAACTTCTCCTTGAAATGCAAGAAAGATAAGAGTGAAGGCACAGCGACAATGCCCCACTCCTTGTGTGTCTAACTGCCTGTTGAGAAATCAGCCTGCATGCCAGTCTCATGATATCAGAGTTTCCTAGCAGTATTACAGAAAGAGGCACACCTTGGACTTGACCAGCTTTTGAAGTCTGGACAACATATTCTATCCCCTCTCCCCATACTATGCTGCAAGGCTGATGTTTCTGTCATGAAATATGCTGTAATTCAGGTCTTTCATTTGATAGGTCATTTTACTAGAAACCCACATTGATTTTTGGAGCTATTTTCTCTCTTAGTATTCAAGGTACAACTTTCTTTGTTCATAAATGTATAGCCTTGCATCCAGCTAAGGGAAAATCTATATTTAAATTCATGTTTTTACAGGGCTATTGTTTGCTATTGTTGTGTGCCTTCAAGTCATTTCCAACTTATGGCGACCCTGAGGTGAACCTGTCATAGGGTTTTCTTGGCAAGTTTCTTCAGAGGGGGTTTGCCATTGCCTTCCCCTGAGTCTGAGAGAGTGTGACTTGCCCATGGTCACCCAATGGGTTTCCATGGCTGAGTCGGGATTTGAACCCTGGTCTCCCATTCTCCTAATCCAGTGCTCAAACCACTGCATCCTAAGATGTAATTGCGTTAGCAGTGTTAATGCTTATTTCTAGACTGCTGATTTAAAATATTGGCTAAAAACTGAAGACAGGTTCTAATGTCAGTGAGTTAAGGAAAGTACCCCAATTTCTGTTACCAACTTTCATTTTATTGTTGTGTTCTGCTTTCTAGTTTGGAGCAGAAAAATTTATACGAGCAGACATCCACTTCTGGGAATTTCCCTTTCCATCTTCCCCTCTGAAGCAGTTATTGCAGTACTGTTAGTATTGTGTAATCTGCCTTTCATTACTGTATTTTTTAAGTTGTAAAGGCCAGTCTTACATTTTATGACTAAGCCAATTCTCCTATATAGGCGAATATCTTGTATAGTCAGAGCAAAGCTTTCCTTCACTCATACTTTAACGTTGCAGTATAAGGAGGTGCCTTGAAAATAAAGCTATACAGTCGGCCCTCTGTATCCATGGATTCTTGATCCACAGATTCAAGCATCCACGGCTTGAAAATATTTTTTAAAAGATATAAATCCCAATAAGCAAACCTTGATTTTCCTGTTTTATAGAAGAGACACCATTTCACTATGCCATTGTATTTAAGGAGACTTGAGCATCTATGGATTTTGGTATCCACAGGGGGGCCTGAAACAAACTCTGACAGATAGCAAAGGCCCACTGTAGTGTATTGATATGGTATGTTTTGGTAATTTTTTTTGTTTTTTTGGCC